TCTATTAAGAAAAATACAAACTTCTCAAAGCACACCAAGTTAAAGAAGCACAAATTGTAATAACAAACAATTGATATGAAAGGAAAAGCAAAGGGTCTGACTAGAAATTATCATAGGGTCGGGTAGAGGGAAGTAGTTTAGATTCCAAATCCTTGCGAGGGTCGGGGAAGGCTTTAGACAACATTGGGTGCATTCAGGGTGGCATGGCCATAGGTAGGCCAGGGAAGGCTTTGATAAGAAAGTGGTATTTTAGCAGACACCTGGAGGAAAAAGAGAAGTCAGAGTGAAGATAAAAGTGCATCACACACTAAGGAATGTCATAGACAGGGGAAAATGTGTGTCTTCGGGAAACTGAAAAAGGGGAAAGGGCCACACCTTGGTGAGGGGACTGAGTGGCACTACATGAAGCAAGAAACATAGACAAGGGCATCCTTGCTCAGCAACTGCTGGCTTAAGAAAGCAAATGTGCAATGACAGATACAGGCTGTCTGAGGGAAAAATGTTAGAAATATGAGCTTTCTTGGAGCATCATCCTTTGCTTCAGTAGAAAACACAGAGTAGGCTTCCAATTCTGATGAAAGCCATTGTCAACAGGGAAAAGGCAACCTTAGGAAGCCTCTGTCAGGGGTCCTGTGGGCACTATGATGGAGCTCACGAGATGCAGACAGCAAGTGCTAGGCTGAATTGGGGGTACATTCACTCCAGAGAGCTATGAGGTCACCAGTCACTGAGGTCATCCAGTGCATTCCCAACAAAATAGGCTCATTCCAAACTAGCTCTGCAAATGAGCGGAAAATAAGCTCTTGGAAGCAAAGCAAGCACACCCACTTTAGCAGAATAATTTAATTTAACTCTTAGAATTCCCCTTCTTTTCTAAAAGTAATAATCATAAGCACAATTTATGAAGTGCCTTCTGTGTATGTGAGAGCACATACTACCTTTGACCCTCCCTGCAAACCTGCTGGGGAAATATTATCATTCCCTTTGTGAAGATGAAACTGAGGCTCAGCAAGATTAAGCAGGTTGCATAAGATCTCACAGCCACTAAGTAGTCAACATTGGGTTCGAGGCCAGGCATCTATGAACCCAACATTTTTAACACTGTATATCACTCTCTGTTTGTATTCGTTTTCTATTGCTGCTGTAACAAATTTCCACGAACTGAGTGACTTAAGACAACAAAAATGTATTCTCTTATGGTTCTGGAGGCCAAGACCTAAAATAGATCCATAGGACTGTGTTCCTTCTGGAGGCTCCAGGGGAGCAGGGGTTTTCTTTCTCTTTCCAGCTTCCAGGGGCTGTCTCCGTCCTTTGGCTCATGGCCTCCTTCCTCTACCTTCCAGGCCAACAGCATAGCATTTTCAAATATCCTTCTTCTGTCTGCTTTAACCCTCTTGCCTCCCTTTTATAAGGACCCTTGTGATTACATTTAAGGCCCACCTAGATAACCCAGGATAATCTGCCCATCTCAAGATTCTTAATCACATCTGCAAAGCCCTTTTACCATTACAGGCAACATTCACAGACTTCAGGGATCAGAACATGGATATCCTTGAGAGGTTATTACTCAGCCTACCACACCTTTCCACATAGATTCTCATAGTTTTACCTGAGCCTAGTGAGGGAGTTCATTACCACTAGGGTCCAGTTGAGTAGCAAGTGCTTCCTTTAAGAGAAAAGGTGAGTTGTCCACTTAATAAAGAAAGAAAAAAATTGTATGTTGAAGTTGCTAAGATCTAAGGTAAGAAGGAATCTTCTGTCAATGAAATTGTAAAGAAGGAAAAAGAAATCTCTGCTAGTTTTGCTGTCACACCACAAACTGCAAAAGTTACAACTACAGTGCATGCTAAGTGCTTAGTTAAGAGGGTAAAGGCATTAAATCTGTGGATGGAAGATGTGAACAGAAATGTGTTCTAATTGACAGAGATCAGGGTTGGTACTATCTGAGGTTTCAGGTATCCACTAATGTCTTGGAACATGTTCCCCACAGAAAAGGGGATGACTACTGTACATTTAAAACAAGCATTTATATATTGGAGATTGAATCTGCCATCTTATGATTGGGTTTTTTATTTGTCCCACAAATAAAGCAAACAAGGTAAAGTTTTAGGCAAGATTTATTTCTAGAGATAGAGATATTCTATTATGAAAAAGAAGGTTGCTCTACCATAAAATACAGTAATTTAAAGTTTTATAATCCCAATAACCTCAAAATATATAAAGTAAAAGATGGACAACATTATACAAAGAAATAGACACATGTACAATGAATAAAATATTTTAACACAACTCACTTAGTATCTGGTAAAACAAGTAGTCCCCCAAAATCAGTAAGTATCTAGAAGATCTTAATAAATACAAACTGATTGGATTCACTGACAGATGTGTTTGGCTTTCTGTCCCCACCCAAATCTTATTTTGAATTATAATCCCCAGTGTTTGAAGCAGGACCTAGCCAGAGGGGCCTGGATCAAGGGGGTGGTTTCTAATGTTTTAGCACCACCCACTTTGTGCTGTCTGGTGATAGAGTTCTCACCAGATCTGGTTGTTTAAAAGTATGTAGCACCTTCCCCTTCACTCTTTTCCTCTGCTTTGGCCATGTTAAGACCATGCTTGTTTCCCCTTCACCTTCCCATGATTGTAAGTTTCCTGAGGCCTCCCCAGCCGTGCTTCCTGTATGGCCTGCAAAACTGTGAGTGGATTAAACCTCTTATCTTTATAAATTACCCAGTCTCAGGTAGTTCTTTACAGCAGTGCAAGAAGTGACTAATACACTGACATACCCCCAGCATTATACTGCTACTGCAGTCCACATGTATTTTACGAGTGCACGTGCTGCTGCTACTACAGTTGGCCATATGCTGTACCGTAAAGCAAGCCTTGCTCAATTTCAAAACAAAAATGGATAATAAACATACAGCTGAAATTCCTTGAATGTTTGTAAATTGTGCAAAACACTTCTAAATAAACCATCAGTCAATGAAGAAATCACAATAGCAACTCTCAAATACTTTAAACTAGAGAAATAAAATATAAAAACTTGGCACAGGGAGCTAAATCTATGCTTAGAATAAAAATAATAATCTGATGCTTATTTTAGAACTATGACAAGATGAAAAATTGCTTAAATCTCAGTAATCATCTTAAGAAATTATTTTTAAAGGATCGAACAGCAAGTAAATTTAAAGAAAAGAGCAGTAACAATTGAATAAAAATAAGAGCAAAATAAAGCCAAAAGTTGGTTCTTTTAAGTCTAATAAAATTGACCTCTGGCCTCAATCTACTCTTCGTAATTTGAATTAATGAGCAGAAGATGTCAGAAGGAACAGAAATAAAGACAAAACAAAACAAATAAAGAAGACATTTCCAAAACTAAAGTAAAATGCTATTTTTTCCAACAGATATATCTTCTTGATTACATACTATTTGACTCTAAATGTGATTTTTGTTGCTTTAAGTTAAATCTACAAGGCTGTAAAGGACCTAGCTGAATCTAGTATTTAATCTGAAATGTCGATGAGAAAATACATGCTTCTTTATGGTAAAGTATAGCTTTAATTGTTGAGCTTTGTTTGTTCACTCTTTGTGCTGAGTATTGACTTGGCAACAAATTTCCAACACTGGTGACTAGTACTGAGTGCCAAAGAGGAGGCGTGTAGTCCCACTGGACCTGAGTGCCACTGAGCGTGAGGGTGGGTAGTAAAATGCATGAGTGCCTCTGGTTACAAGGAAGGATGAGAAATGAGGATGGGAGAGACAAAGCCACAGCACAAATACTTACTGATTAACTAAAATTTGAAGCTGTGAAATTGCAGCTACCCCTTTAGTGAAAGATGATATAAATGACTTAGTTGCCTTCAAACTAGCAGAGACTTTTAAAATGGAGGGATGCTGATATTTTTTTAAAAGAACCCATTTGTAAGTTACCTTTTAAAGCAGGGGTCCTCAACCCCTGGGCCATGGACCAGTAGTGGCCTGTGGCCTGTTAGGAACTGGGCAGCATGGTATGAGGTGAGCAGTCAAATATTACTGCCTGAGCTCCACTTCCTGTCAGATCAGCGGCAGCATTCAATTCTTATAGGAGTGAAAATGTGCATATGAGGGATCTCAGTTGCGTGCTCCCTATGAGAATCTAATGCCTGATGATCTGAGTAGAACAGTTTGAAATCCATTTTCCTATACCCTCCATTCTTGGAAAAGGTTGTCTTCCACAAAACCAGTCCCAGGTCCCAAAAAGTTGGGGACCACTGTTCTAAAGAAATCGATCTCTTTGCTATTATTATTATTTGCTAAGATGGAGTCTTGCTCCATCACCCAGGCTGGAGTACAGTGGCACAATTTTGGCTCACTGCGACCTCCGCCACCAGGGTTCAAGCAATTCTCCTGCCTCAGCCTCTCAAGTAGCTGGGACTACAGACACACACAATCGTGCTCTGCTAATTTGTTGTATTTGTAGTAGAGATAGGGTTTCACCATGTTGACCAGGTGGGCTTGAACTCCTGACCTCAAGTGAGTCACCCACCTTGGCCTCCCAAGTGCTGGAATTACAGGCATGAGCCACCACGCACAGCCCCATTGGCTATTATTGAAGTGTTCTTTTTCTTTTTTGATCACATCTATGAAGTATATTGGAGAAAAAGAAGAAATAGAATGGGAATTTTGACAGAGCATGGTGGCTCACTCCAACACTTTGGGAGGCTCTGGTGAGTGGATCACTTGAGGTCAGGAGTTAAGACCAGCCTGGCCAACATGGTAAAACCCTGTTTCTACTAAAAATACAAAAATTAGCCAGGGGTGGTGGTGGGCACCTGTAATCCCACCTACTCGGGAAGTCGAGGCAGGGAGAATTGCTTGAACCCAGGAGGTGGAGGTTTCAGTGAGCCAAGATCACATCACTGCACTCCAGCCTAGGTGATAGAACCAGCCTCCATCTCAAAAAAGAAAAAAACGTATGGTGATTTCTCCACTAACTTCGATGCTCCTGTGGTCTTGATCTCCAGGTCAATGCAATGCCCCTGAACAGCTTCCATTTTCCAGGCCTATCAACCTAACTGATGAGTCTCAGTTTCCCATTGGGACATATTTAATGTACAAATGCCGCCCTGGTTATTACGGAAGATCATTTTCTATTGTCTGCCTAAAAAACTCAGTCTGGACAAGTGCTAAGGACGAGTGCAGACGTAAGTAACTCTGGACTGGGAACCCCTCTGTTGGTCACACATCTGTAAGATCTGACCCAGTTAGTTCAAATTTTGTAACTGAGTTACATGTGACAATTTGTTTACGAAGGTGCAATACATATGAGAATAATTCTTGTAGATCATACCTTGTTACTGCTTTGAGTTCCTGGCACCTTCATTACAAGTTTATTTTATGAGAAACAGCCAACACAGGATACGATCAAGGGAAAATCCCCATTCACTGGGGGTCTCTCATTTTCATGACTAAAATTAAGTAATGAATGACTTGGGACAAGAAAGATAAGTGGATTAAATAACCAAAAGATGAGACAACTTTGGGCTTTGAGATCTTTGGATTATACTAGTTGAATTGAATTGCAGATGGTAACAAATAAAATTTACATTTTTCTGGGAGGTATAATATGGGGATGAAACAGATCTGAAGGGAAGTTTTTTTTGAAAGGGAGCTGATCCTGAAGCAGTCTGGTGAGTTTCCTCAAGGTGGCAAAATCTATGGAACCATCAGAACTGTGTGTATTCATCATCAGTAAGCTACAGGCAGGTTGAGACCTTATATACTAAAAAAATAGTCAGTTTACTGTGCTTGGCTCCAAAATTCTGTTTCTTCCTGTAGGAAGATCATGTCGTAATCCTTCAGAACCTGTGAATGGCATGGTGCATGTGATCAAAGACATCAAGTTTGGATCCCAAATTAATTATTCTTGTAATAAAGGGTGAGTTGGCAGCAACATCTCTTGGTTCAAGAGTTCTGGCACAGCCATACACCTTCTAGCCACATCTCAGAAAGGACCCCTAAGCTATTAACATCTTCGCTGCAAAGGCTTGAACACAGGTGTTTAGCTCCTAACTGAAATGAACAAAGGTATGACAAGATCGGGGAAAATCATCCATATCCTTGCTGGAAACCAAGGCAGTGCATATATGAAAAGTGTGGCATTCGTTGGGTGGGAAGGAAGAAAATGGGGGAAGATTGCAGTCAAAGCACACAAACAGCCCTAACCCAGGGCTGGAAGAAAGGGCAGGCCATTGAGCAGCTGTGCGAGAGAAATCTTAATGGTCATAGCACCAGCCGTTTGCTAGGACTGCTGTAACCGAGTACTCAAAAACCAGCAGCTTAATACAAATGAAGTTTTTGAAGTTTTGTTCTGGAGGCTGGAAGTCCAAAATCAAGGTGTTGGCAGAGCCATGTTCGCTCCAAAATCTGTAGAAGTGGATCCCTCTTTGCCTTTTCAGCTTCAGTAGCCCCAGGCCTTCCTTGGCATGTGGTAGCAGAACTGCAATTTCCCTCTCTGTCCTCACATGGCCGTCTTCCCTCTGGGTCTGTGTCTGCACATGGTGTTCTCCTGTTTGTGCATGTTTGTGTCCAAAGTTCTCTCTTTCAATAAGGACACCAGTCATATTGGATTAGGGACCACACTAACGACCTCATCTGAACTTGATTGCCTCTGCAAAGAGTGTATTTCCAAATAAGGTCACACTAACAGGAACTAGGGATTAAGAGGTCTATATATTTCAGGGGTGAGGGGACACTGTCCTACTCTGGGCCCTGGGGAGAAGACTCCCTAAAGTCTAGACATAGTTATCCACATGCCATTTGTGGTTTCTGGTGATGAAATGATCATGGCTTCTCCTGAACTGTGGCTTAACTTCATGAACGCACAACTCTCTCTTCCCCAGGAGATTGAAAAAGATAGGGTAGAATGTAAAGGCTTCAATCTGTTCAAATGAATATGTAAGTCCCTGGCTCCCTTTAAAATAAGTATCATGGGTTTTATCTCTCTGCCTTACTTTCTCATGAGCATTCTGAATGAGAAGAGCTTAAATCATTATTTGTTCAATTATGTAATCTACTTTAGGAGACAAGTTCAATAAATTAAAATATTCTTCTGTCTGTTCCCCTTTATCAGTGAACATGGAGTTATCTTTTGACTCATATTTAATATGTTCAGTACTGCAACACTGAACAATAGTATGGAGGAGAAGATGCCAACGTCAGTTTGAACCTGCTTCACCATTCCTGTCCCAACCCCCGCGATTAGAAAATCAAAAAGATCACTTTGGGAAATAACCTCAGTGAGGTCAAAAGCCAGAGGAGGCTCCAGGATCCCTTGTTCATAAGACAAACAGGCAGAAGGGGGTACACATATAGGAATGCAGCCCTTCTTCATTTGTTCACATCCTTCATGCTTGTGTGTGTGTCTGTTGGCAGTGCAACTGAGAATGCTTTCACTTTGGTGTTATACTTGAAGGCATTAGAAAGCAAAATCAGGTGGTATGTGATGGCTCATGGCTGTACTCCCAGAACTTTTGGAGGCTGAGGTGGGTGGATCACCTGAGGTCAGCAGTTCCAGACCATCCTGGTCAATATGGTGAAACCCGTCTCTACTAAAAATGCAAAAATTAGCTGGGTGTGGTGGCAGGCGCCTGTAGTCCCAGCTACTCAAGAGACTGAGAAAGGAGAATCTCTTGAATCTAGGAGGTGGAGGTTGCAGTGAGCTGCGATCGTGCCATAGCACTTCAGCCTGGGGGACAAGAGTGAAAGTCCGTCTCAAAAAAATAATAACAAAGAAAACGCAAAATAATATCGAAGCCATTAATAATTACAACATAATCACTACTATAATGTTAACAGTGCGTCAAGTGTCTTCAAAAGCACCCACTGTTCTCTCACTATTCAGTTGATCTCCATTTGGCACTGTTTTGTTGCTTGAATAAAGCTCTATGCTGCCAGGTTTTCCCACACATTCATGAAGCAAGTTCTCAGCTCTCCCTGTAACCATGACTGTTATTTGACATTGCGTCCTTCCTTCACGTGTAGTACTACCAAGTTTGATCCAACCTTCCCTATGGCCAGTTAGACCCAACCGTCTATCACAACAGAGAGTCTCTGGTGAAGTAAAGCAAATGTCATGAATTCTTCCAAATGTATGGCACGCTTTGAACACTTTGAGACATACTAATTGAGAATTGCTAACTTTAACATTTCAAGTATAAAATAAGTGTTCAATTCTTTTGGGTCAGCTTAGATTTCCTTTGGTTCTAGTTATGAATAATTCTCTTTCCTTTTTCTTTTTTTTCTTTTGTTCTTTATTTATTCATGCTTTCTTAACTTTCTGAGACAAGGTCTTGCTTTGTTGCCCAGGCTGGAGGCTGGAGTGCAGTGGCATGATCAATGCTCACTGCAGCCTCAGCCTCCCAGGCTCAAGCGATCCTCCTGCCTCAGCCTCCTGAGTAGCTAGGACAGCAGAAATGTGCCAGCATGCCTGTCTTTTTTAATAATTTTTTTGTAGTGACAGAGTCTCCCTATGTTGCCCAGGCTGGCCTCAAACTCCTGAGCTCAAGCAATCCTCTTGCCTCAGACCCCCAAAGTGCTGAGATTACAGGCATGAGCCACTGCGAATGGCCTATTTTGATGAATCTTACTGATAAAAGCCCATCCATGCATCCATATACTAATACTTGTAAGGCACAGAAATACATACAACAGGACTATATACACACATACATGTATATACATGACAGCTTCCCTGCATGCAAGAAGTTTGTGTAATCTTTTAAAAAAATGGAATTTATAGGAAAAACTATAATTCATCTTAGATTTCCGTTAAAAAATGTGTCATATGGTAATAAAGAAGAGAAAGCCCACCCGACTGAGAAGACATGGAAAAGAAAATCAAAAAGTCCCGAGAAGAATGTGAAACTTGGGAAGGTGATAGATAGTCCTTTGACAAGTGGAGAATGTTCCTCTGAATTCTGTAAGAGTGCAATTTCTAGAAGTAGGGATGTAAGTGGGTAGTTAACCTGTGTCTTTAGAACCTAATATTCCACATTCTTTGTCTCTAGATACCGACTCATTGGCTCCTCATCCGCCACATGCATCGCCTCAGGCAATACTGTCATTTGGGATAATGAAGCACCTGTTTGTGACAGTGAGTTGAAATATCCCTTCCTATTTGTTTTACTGATACATTCTAATTTTTCTCTGGAATTATAAAAATCTTAACCGAATTCCTTCTGTGCAATTTGTCCTTCCTATAGCTGAAGACAGCTGTAATGTTCTCAAATATTCCTGTGGGGTTCCTGGCAACTCTTTCCTTAAGTTCTTACTTATCCTGGGATGTGTCTTTTCTAATTCTGAGAGCTTAAGTACATAAAAGCCTTCAAACTTGATTTCACTTCAATAAATTTGAAATTATGTTGGTTCTACTGCCTCCAGTGTGATAATCACCCTGCTTGGCAAATCAGTAAAGATTTTTAAAACTGATGCTCTTCAAGATTAGTGAAGCTTCAGAAGAACCTGGACTCCCGTGTACCACGAGATCAACACATCCTCTTGAAAGACACCATAACACTATAAACCTCAGAAGTGGGCATACATTTTAACCTACTTCTTAGAATTGATACTTAGGAAATAAACACAAACTTCTTAAAGCATGTTGGTGGAAACTTTTCATTGCAGCATTATTTAGATTAGTTAAAATGTTAGAGTAACCTAAATATTTTATACTATGGTTTGGAAATGATCTACAAGAAAGAAAGAGATGTGTTCAAATTACCACTGTAAAGAATTCCCTAAGAAACATAAAATAGCTTTGCAGAATAAAAAAAAAGTATATCCATACACTGGCATCTTATTCAGCCATAAAAAATGATAGCATTAGGAGAAAAACCTAATGTAGATGACGGGGTGATGGATGCAGCAAACCACCATGTCACGTGTATACCTATGAAACAAACCTGAACATTCTGCATATGTACACCAGAACTTAAAGTATAATAATTTTAAAAAGATTGCATAAAGAAGCACTTAACGATGAGAAAGAGATGTTTTATATGGAAAAAAAGTCAGATGAACAGCATGTATAGCAAGATCTCATTTTATGAAAAAATAATACACCTATGTAGTGGAGGGCCAGGCTGAGGCTGAGAGAAATACAGTGTATAACATCTTACTGTTCTCTTTGGATAACTTGGGGACTTCTTTTCTTTTCCTCTTCTTATTTAAAAATGTTACTTTTACTAGAAACTTTATGAGCTTCAGAATATAAGTTTATAAATGACATTGGTCACACATTTATTGCTGTTTATCCAGTTTAAGAAACAGTTTTGATATTTTGTAAACCAAACTGAGAAACTTTCCATCTTATTTATAATCTGTAATAAGATAACATGGAATTGGAATAGGAATTTTCTTAGAAATATGAACCAAATATTATTAGTAAAATAGAGAAAACAAACAAAATAATACACCTATACTTATACCTATATTTTTATCTCTGTTTATAGTTCTCTAAATTCTCTATATCCAAATGCTGGTAAATGGCTTTAAGTCTTCCTGGGGAAGGCTAGGGGAAGATTTACAATATTTGCTTTTGACTGTGTAGCCTGCTGCTTCCTCAAAAGGATCCAGTCTCCCATCCATTCATGCTGCTCTGAGTCTATAGACTATTCAAGTCTAGGAATTGTTGATGTACGATGAACTTCTTTTGCAATGATTTAAGTCAGATTTTTTTTCACTTGACCTAAATCTCTTCTGCTTATACAAATCAAGTAACACTTTAGTCGGCTATTCATCTACTTCGGTTTTAGAGACTCCATGATCAATTAGCCAGTAACAAAGTTCTCTTCAGTCAAATCATTCTGATTGCTGTTTCAACTCTAATACCCATTACGAGAACCTCCATTGTCTGTGACAATTAAGTGCTGCCACTTGGACTCTGCCACCCTGAGGTCCTTTGATCCCCAAGTGAATTCAGAGAACCCAGTTCAATGGCAACAGTTCCCACTATCATTCCCAGCCCACAGAGAATGAGCTGTCACAGAGGATGCTGAAACTTCCCATGTAAATGTACTTCTCGAGCCTGGAGTAAAAGGTCTATCCTCTGAACCCTCCACTCCTGCACTGTGCCTCATGAACTCTATCCAAGGATGACCTTCAGAGTGGAATGGCTGTTACTTAACATTTGCCTCTCAAATATCAGGCTAGTTTCTCATGCTGTAACCCTAGTCCAGAACCATACAGAGAAACTAAGTCTGGAAAACATAATTCTAAATTTGCCTGGCTGACACTGTACCAAACCACCAGATAGTAATTTTATTTAACTCTTTGTTTTCTTATCTTTCTTTCCCTCCCTCCTTCCCTCCCTTCCTTCCTTTCTTCTTTCCTTCCTTCCTTCCCTCCCTTCCTTCCTTCCTAACCTCCCTTCCCTCCTTCTTTCCTTCCTTCCCTCCCTCCCTCTCTCTTTCCTTCCTTCCTTCCTTCCTTCCTTCCTTCCTTCCTTCCTTCCTTCCTTCCTTCCTTCCTTCCTTCCTCTTTTGATATCTTCTTTGACCTGTAGGCTATTTAGAAGAGCATTGCTTAATTTCTAAATATTTAGAGATCTTCTAGGTATCATTATTCTATTATTGTAAGCATTTACAACTTCTTGAGACATGTTTTATGGCTCAGAATATGGATAATTTTGGTAAACTGTTATGTATGCACTTAAAAAGAACGTACAGTTATTTTGTTTCACTTTCTAGAAATGTCATTTAGGAAAATAATTAAGAACAGTCTTTTTCACCCCCCTCCACTTGTTCTCTCGGTTATCGAGAGGCATGTGTAAAATATCTGTATTGGTTTCTCAGGGCTACTGTAACAAATGATCACAAACTTGATGGCTTCAAACAAGAAAAACTTACTCTCTTAAGAGTTTGGAGGCCAGAAACTCACGGTTAAGATGTCGACAGGATTGGTTCCACCCGGAAGCTCTTCTGTGCCTCTCTCTGGGCTTCCTTCCAGTGGCTGCTGGCCATCTGTGATGTTCCCTGACTTGTAGATGCATCATTTCCTTCTCTGCCTCCACCTTCTCATTGCCTTCTCTGTGTGTTTCTTTTGCTCTTCTGTCTCCTATAAAGACACTGGACATGGATTTAGAGGCCACCCTGGCAATCCAGGAGGGTCTCAACTCAAGATCATTAACTTGATTGTATCTACAAAGACTCTCCAAATTGGGTCACGTTCACAGGTTTCAAAGGGTAGGACACAGATGTTTTTTAAGGAGGACAGTGGTTATTCAACCCATTACAATCCCCAACTATGACTATGAATTTGTCTGTCTTTCCTCTTTGTTCTAGCGATTTTTACTTTATGTATTTTAAACATGTTATTAAATGCATGAAATGTTTGGTATATTCTATCTTTCTGCTGAACGGACAATTTTCTCATAAGGAAATGTCTCTCTTTACCTCTCATACTTCTTGCCTTAAAATCTACTTTGTACATTAATATAGCTATATCGGCTTTCTTTCTTGTTTTTATATTATGTATGTTTTAAATCTTTTACTTTCAGCCCTCTTTGTCTTATATTTAAAGCTTGTCTCTTGTAAACATCATATAGTAACGTTTTCTTGTTTCCTTCAGTCTTTCTTAGTTGTTCATTGGTGTGTTTTGAAAGTTTAAATTTAATAAAACAAATTAAACTAAATATATTTAATATAGTTACTGATATAGTTACTGATAAGTCTAACTCTTGTTTATGTTTTTTATTTGTTTTGTGTGTTTATTCCTCATTTCTCACATTTTTTATTTCCCCAATAACTTTTAAGTCGTATTTCATTTTTATCCTTAAAATGACTACTCTAGAGATAAACATCCTTGATTTACTATCATCTACTAAAAGTGTGCCTTTAACACTCTCCAAACAATGCAAGTATTCAAACTATTAATATTTAATTCCATTTACATCCTCCTGTCTTTTCCTGTTGTTGTCATACATTTTGTAAAAAGAAAAACTTCAGCTGAATTAAATTTAAAAGAGTTTAATTGAACAATGAATGATTCACAAATCAGTCAGCCTCCCATGCTGGAACAGGCTCAGAGACTCCAGCCCAGCTGCGTGATGGAAGAAGATTTATGGACTGAAAAGGGAAAATGATGTACAAAAAACAGAAGTGAAGTACAGAAATAGCCAGATTGGTTATAGCTCAGCGTTTGCCTTATTTGAAGACAGTTCAAACCATTGGCCACTTTTGACTGGCCAAAACTCGGTGATTGGCGTAAGAGTAGGCTATGGTCTGTTTATGTTTTCACTTGTTATAGTTCACAGTGTACAGAGAAACCTTTAGGCTGAGAGTAAACTATGTAAGGCCTTAGGCTAAACTTGATTTAACAATTTACACATATTCTATGTTTCAAAAACATAATTGTTGTCTTTATAAAAACAATATTTACTTATATTTACACTGTAGTGAATTCTTATGATTTTATGATGCCTCACCATCCACTTTGAATATGTTTAGCTTTCTCATGCCAGAAACAGGGCTTAGTTACCCTTAATGCACTTTCTAGTTTTATAGCTCCTCCTAATTTTTCCACGTGGTCGAGCCAGATATCTGCCTTATACAACTACCTCCTAGCGACCACCTATCTATGGGACAGCTGGATGAAACGTATTTGACTAGCATCCCTGACCTCATCCCTGCATGAACTTTATCTATTAGCAAATGTTTTGTATTTTATTTTTTTAAAAAAGCTAACCTCAATAACAAAAATGGAAATTAAGAAAGCAAATGAAAAAGGGCAGGAGAAAACTGGATAAACTCTATAATTCTGTAAACAAAGAGCTATTTAAAATGAAAAGAATGTGGATTGAGTTAATAAATGCATGCAAATATTACAGAAAATCATATAAGCAAGACAGGTAGGACACATGATATTATGCTCACTGAAGTTACAATTTGTAAAAATTTACCTATGTGTTAGCAAAGATTAAAAGCAAAAAATGAATGTAGAAATAGTTACAGTTTAGTGACTCAGGAGATTTTTGTCATTCATTATTTAAATTCACTATTATTTAACCTGTTCTTTCTTTTCCCAGTAATTCCCTGTGGGCTACCCCCCACCATCGCCAATGGAGATTTCATTAGCACCAGTAGAGAGGATTTTCACTATGGATCAGTGGTGACCTACCACTGCAATCCTGGAAGTAGAGGGAGAAATATGTTTGAGCTCGTGGGTGAGCCCTCCGTATACTGCACCAGCAATGAGGATCAAGAGGGCATCTGGAGTGGCCCGGCCCCTCAGTGTGTCATACCTAACAAATGCATGCCTCCAAATGTTGAAAATGGAATAATGGTATCTCACAACAGAAGCTTATTTTCCTTAAATGAAGTTGTGGAGTTCAGGTGTCAGCCTGGCTTTGTCATGAAAGGATCCCCCCGTGTGCAATGCCAGCCGCTGAACAAATGGGAGCCAGAGTTACCAAGCTGCTCCAGGGGTGAGTCTGTCTGATACCTAGAAGGGCCCTGCAAATGCCATGAGTTGCTGCTGGATCAGGAGATTAGTATTTGTTCAGAGGGAGGGATGTGTGGTGAGCAGGATGGGTGAGCAAATTTTCTAAGTAGTGAACATGAAATTCAGAAGGTGTGTGTGTGTGTGTATGTGTGTGTGTGTGTGTACATGCACATGTGCTGAAATCCAGAAGCAAAGCTAAACCTGGGCAACGAATTTGATGTTTCTTTGGGGTTCTTACAAAAGACCTGTCAATTACCTTTGAGTATAACAATTGCTGAAAGGAAATGAGTCTTCTGGTCAGACACCATAATACAGGCTATGTGTGAATTTTAATTCTTAAAACAAAGTTATTAGGTAGTTACCAGTTTTTCTATGTTGGTCTGTTTTGTTTTGTTTGAGATAAGGTCTTGATTTGTCACTCAAGTTGGACTGCAGTGGTGTGATCATGGCTTACTGCAATCTCTACCTCCCTGGCACAAGCAATTCTCTTGCCTGAGCCTCCCAAATAGCTGGGACTACAGGTGCATGGCATCACAACTGGCTAAGTTTTTTATATATTTTTTGGTAGATATGGAGTCTCATCATGTTGCCCAGGCTGGTCTCAAATTCTTGAGCTGAAGCAATCCACCCAATTTGCCCTCCGAAAGTGATGAGACAACAGGCATGAGCCACCGTGCCCAGCCTCTATGTTCTGCAAAGAATGTGTGCCTTAAAGAGATTGGGTAACTTTCTAAGATTCTAACTTGCAGACAAGACTGGAACGCAAGTCCGCCTGACTCCAGAGCCTTGGCTTTGCTAATCAGCACCCAGTCAGGAAATCAAAACTTACTCTAGATACTTTCAAGGAGTGAGGGATTACATGCAGGTGGTATTAGTCTGTTCTCACATTGCTATAAAGAACTACCTGAGACTAGGTAATTTATAAACAAAAGAGGTTTAATTGACTCACAGTTCTGCAGGCTGTACGGGAGGCATGGCTGGGGACCCCTCAGGAAACGTACAATCATGGTAGAAGGCAAAAGGGAAGCAGGCATATCTTCATGTGGCTGGCAGGAGAGAGAGAGAGAGAGAGAGAGAGAGAGAGAGAGAGAGAGAGAGAGAGAGACAGAGAGAGAGAGAGAGAGAGAGAGAGAGAGAGAGAGAGAGCAAATGGGGAGGTGCTGTACACTTTTAAACAAGCAGATCTCAATAGAACTCTATCACAAGACAGCACTAGGGTGATGATGCTAAACCATTAGAAACCACCTCCATGATCCAGTCACCTCCCACCAGGCTCCTCCTCCAACAATGGGAATTACAATTTGACATGAGATTTGGGAAGGGACACAGAGCCAAACCATATCACCATTAATAGGTCAGAAAGATGTTAGAAGGGCAGGGAAAGCAATAGGAACAAGGTAGAGTTACCAGGGACCAAGGAGCTACTGTGGCTTCCAGTCTAAAGCACGGGAGCCTGTACTGATGCTGAGCTGGTCAGCTCCTGCCACTGAGCAGGTGTCTTCCTGAAAGCTGCTAATGCTGCAGGAACCACCACTGCTGCCAGAATGGAGCTGATATTGCTGGAGCAAAAGTCGTTGGCATTGCTAGAATTGAAGCTGTGGCTGCTCACTGAAGCCATGTATACTGTCACTGCCTGAGCCACCTCTACAAGTAGAACAGATTCTGCCATCATCCTGCCTTTTTATTTGGCATATATTCCTCCAATTGATAGACCCTAATCAGAGCCCACCTACCAAGGAAGACAAAGAATTGTAGTTTTAAGGCCTCCATTGCTAGCAGTCAAAAGACAGTACAGAAGTGTGAGGCCAGGTGCCAACATGCATTTAACCAACACATCACCTCAATATTACATCACCAGGCATTGAGTAGTCAAAGGAAACACTGGGTGATGAGCCCTGAAAACTCACATTACAGCATCAGAGTATTTACGAACTCCTTAAAGAAGTCATTTTTCTAGTCCAATTCCCTATTCGATGCTTGAGAAAGCTGAAGTCCAGAAAAGGGAACTGATCTGCTCAAAGGCAAACTGAAATTATTTTTTCCATTTTATAACAGTTTTATATAATTTAGTTGAGACCCAAATGTGTTCTGACTTCCTGAGTTCAGACCATCTATATGAAGAGACAGCCAGAGATGCTGTTACCATAAGTTGTGGAAATATACATTCTCAGCATGCTGACGGTAGGTCTTGTAGATTTTGTTCAACAGTTGCCCACCTTCTCGCTGGAGTAAAATGAATGACCAGGCAGCATCTTGCTACATAGCATGAAGAGAGGAGACCCATCGTTCTTGATCACCCTATGTCAGGTGGCTGCTGAGGGAAGATGTGAAAGGAGATGAGAATAAAGTGTATGGACATAATTTCTTGCACCATTTTCATAGGTGATGGAGGGACCTATTACATGAGACATGTGCGCGGGCACCGCTTTATTGCCTAAAATGCAAGACTGTAAATTGATGATGCCTTTCTAGAAAGGAAGTGTGAGATATAAAAATCCTTCATTCCTCCCAATTTTGTACTGGGCGAACAGTAATTGGAAGCATTCTAGAAGGAACTGTCCATTGTGAAATCTTAGGTGCATACTTCAGATGAAAAACAATGACTTGGGGATACCTCCGTTTTAGTCACAGTTCTGCAAGTGTCAGTTCTATGACTGATGGCAAGACATTTTCCTCGCTCTGTGTATTTAGTTTATCAATATGATAAGGCTTTTATTGTACCTTTTTATTACATATAGATATATAATTACTATTTCCTTGGCCAGTTTACCAGTGAACAGAAAAAGTTATTTTGACACAATTAGCAGTACTTTGTTTCTCTCTCCCCCAGTATGTCAGCCGCCTCCAGATATCCTGCATGGTGAGCGTACCCAAAGGGACAAGGACAGCTTTTGGCCTGGCCAGGAAGTGTTCTACAGCTGTGAGCCCGGCTATGACCTCAGAGGGGCTGCTTCTCTGCACTGCACACCCCAGGGAGACTGGAGCCCTGCAGTCCCCAGATGTGCAGGTGCCTAGACTCTTACCTGGCTTGATATTTTTAGCTTGTGTCTTTATTCTCCACATGTCAGTTATTTCTGTTTGTTTTCTTTTTCTCCAGTGAGATCCTGTGATGACTTCCCGGGCCAACTTCCTAATGGCCATGTGCTATTTCCACCTAATCTCCAGCTTGGAGCAAAAGTGGATTTTGTTTGTGATGAAGGGTGAGTATGAGCTTGCCTGACCTGCTAGACATTAAAATTTTGGTTGGGAATTAGTCCAAAAAGGGGAGATTTGATGTGGCTTAAAAGAAGGACACACACACACACACACACACACACACACACACGCCACTCAGAGAGACGAACTTTTGAAAATATATATAGGAAGAAAGGAGATAAACATATAGAACTAATTACATGAGATATGAAGAGCAAACTGGGCCATACATCCACCAAGTTCAAAGACAAATATAACTGCTTGTTATGAATATATAGGTAACACATTAAGGAATATGAGTAATTTAGAGAGTCCCAGAAAAAAAATTGTTAAGGAACACAAAGCGTATTCTAAAAAGCTAGGATCATTTAAGAATCATTTCAGCCAGGCACGGTGGCTAACGCCTATAATCCCAACACTTTGGGAGGCTGAGGTGGGACCTGAGGTCAGGTGCTCAAGACCAGCCTGGTTAACATGATGAAACCCCATCTCTACTAAATATAGAAAGTAAATTAGTGGGCTTGGTGGCAGGTGCCTGTAATCCCACCTTCTTGGGAGGCTGAGGTACGAGAATCTCTTGACCCGGGGAGGTGGAAATTACAGTGAGCCGAGATCATGCCACTGCACTCCAGCCTGGGGAATAGAGCAAGACTCCATTTCAAAGACAAAAATTAATTAATTAATTAATATAAAGAATCATTTCAGTAAATTGTTTAAACAACCAATATTAAAATTTTTAATAGGACTGAACATGTAAAAATAAGCACTTTTAAAAAATTCAGTCATATATCATCTGGCAAGTCATGGGCTTTGGGCTCTGAGATGGGGGCCTGATGGCTGCTGTTAATATTTCTGGCAGGGTCATTAACTTGTTTATGTCCCTCTAGTGGTCTTCACAGGGTGTGCATCCCTACGTGGGAGCTGACCAGCATGAGTAACAAAGCACCTGATCCCAAAATGTTCCACAGGATCTTGGCAGGCTCTAAATGCCAGCACCCAGTAAGATTTAGGAGGGCATCAGGGCCCAACAGACATTAAGAATTTTTGATGATTGCATACAAAAATCATGTCCTGTCTTCTTTCCTTTTTCCCCTAGAATATTCACACTTACTCTTCAGCAGCTCAAACTGCTGTTGTGAGCCTTCTTCACGCCATCACAGATGTAGAGACCAAAGGACAATTTCTGTTCTCTCGCCAACTATTTCTCACTTTTCCAGTCCAAATTAGAAGCTGTTTTACTTGCTGTTTCCGGGTCAGCGTCAGGAAGGCGTTGCATTAAGGACTGGGTTTCTAATAATGACAATGAGTGATTTATCAGGTTATCATAGAGTAGTCAGTGAAACTCCAAGCCAGGGTCCAGGGTCAAGGGGATGGCGGCTATGTCCTGACGACCTTCTTCAATTCAAGCAGAACTATCACGTGACCAAGCTATTGCCTTTTGCCATTTTGTATTGCTCCCTTCTGGATGCTGTGATTTTTCCAGGATAATGTAGTCTCTACAACTCTGCCACCTGCTGGCCTCAGGTCCTCAAAATCCTGAGATTTGGGGCGGGGCCTTAGATTGTGATCTAAGTGACTGGTCTCTTGGCTGAAACAGCTCACTATTCACTACAATTTTCTTCTTTAGATTTCAATTAAAAGGCAGCTCTGCTAGTTATTGTGTCTTGGCGGGAATGGAAAGCCTTTGGAATAGCAGTGTTCCAGTGTGTGAACGTGAGTAATAGGAGTAACATTTCAGGCCAATCTCTTCCCTTTCTCTCTTCAGTATTTGACCCATGGCCTCCCCTAATGTGGTTCTTCAGTTTTCTAGTCTGAATTATTGATTTGAAAATTGCCTATTTTAATAATGTTTTGTTGTGAATTAATGTGTACATCACTTGTTTTGGAACAATCTGATCTGTCTCTGTCCCTTAGTATCCCGTGTTCTATTGTGATGAATCCTGTGGTAGTGTGCTTCTAGGTCAGGAGAGGTTAGATAATGTGAAGCTTTAACAATTTGCTTTCTTGCTCTCTTTCTTTCTTTTCTTTCTTCTTTTTCTTCCTTCAGTTCTTTCTTCCCTTCTTCTCTCCTTCTCCCTTCCCTCCTTTATTTTTATTTTGTTCTCCCATCAAGCTGCAGTCAGGCTGCAATTTGTGTATCTATTTGATAATACACAAATATCAAACATGCCTTTATTTAATCAATATTTTTTGATCACATACTTTGTGCCAGATGTTCATCTAGCCACTTGACTTACAGCAATGAACAAGACGAGTGAATTCCCTGTCCCCATGTTATTTTTACTCAGGTGGGGAGAGGGACAAGAAAAAAGTAAATTAAACGCTATAAAGATAATAAATCAAAGCAATGAGGAATTAGGGAAAGGTGGGGAGTAACATCACACAGGGTGAGCAGCTTGAGACTCCTTAAATTCTCAAAACGTGGACCTAAATAATTTATACTGAGAGATTCATAAATAATAAATCTGTTTTTAAAAAATGAGCCTTATATGTTTAGTAATCAGTAGACTGCTAATTTCTCCTAGTCTACCCATTTATAATTTCCCCAATAGAAGATAGAACTTTGCTTTATTTCTTGATTCCAAAGATTGGAAAGCATATTTCTTTAAAAAAAAACATGAAATTTTACTGAACTGTTTATATTGTTAGAAATCTACCTGGACATCTTACAGTGCTTTTTAGAGTAAAATTATATAAGAACATAATGTATAGAGTGATTCTTGGCTGTCTAACAAATCCAATGCTCCTCGAAGCAACATGACAAATGCCTGTTCTGCTGTCGTGCATGAAAGCTCAGGTATTGATTGGGCTACTCCAGCTTTCTCTTATTTTTCACAACCCTTGCTAGTTGAAGTAGCTTCTTCGAAATTCCAATTCTAATGAAAAACACCAACTAGAAATGAGGAAGAGACTGCTGTAAACAAATCAGCAGATGGTAGAAAGGAGTAACAACTGGAAACTTGACCCAGAAAGTAAAGAGAAAATAAGTCATCAACAGACCTAGACAGTTTAAAAAGCAAAGCAATCTGAATCCATCTGGAGTTTTTAACAATGGTCTGACTACATTTCAATTCACTGTGCAATGCTATTGTTATCACGAGATTTATGATCAATATCAATAAGTAATCAGTGAAGTTTTTTTTTGCCTATTTAAGGTGATTAGCACATATACATTCATTTGAGAAATATTTCACAAGAATGTAGGCTCCTTCATCATCACCATGTCCCCAGGATCCTGATGAGTGGCTGACGCAGGATAAGTGCTCAGTTAATATATGTTGACTAAGGGAATGAGTTACTCTTGAAAATGGCTATTTTTCTTCTTCAAATGTTTTGATACTTCATTAAAGTTGTAAAGTTTCTATTGTCCAGGAACTGCTACTATCTGGAAGATTCAGGATAGACAAATCTCTTTTGTACTTTACAATACACTTCCGTTGACATCTCATTTAATCCAAATCTTTGAAGTCCTAATGTCTACTGCCATCTCCTTAGCATATTTTAAATAAAAACAATCATGGCACCTTATAACTGCAGAATACATCTGGTGAAACTCCTGAATGAAACTTAGAGCTTTTGCCTTTTTTCCAGAAATCTTTTGTCCAAGTCCTCCAGTTATCCCTAACGGGAGACACACAGGAAAACCTCTGGAAGTCTTTCCCTTTGGAAAAGCAGTAAATTACACATGCGACCCTGACCCAGTCAGCGGGAAGACCTTCGACCTCGTTGGGGAGAGCACCATCCGATGCACAAGTGACCTTCAAGGGAATGGGATTTGGAGCAGCCCTGCCCCTCGCTGTGGAATTCTGGGTTAGTGCTCATTTCCCTACATCCCAAATGAATTCCAAATATCTTAACCAGGCCCTCCATATTTCCGTAGTTACAGGGTGATATTTATTTGTGTATTTGCCATAGTGTAATGCCAAACCAATGATAAACAGTTCTAAGATAGGGGAACACCTAAGATCCTGACAACATTTGCAGCCGGAGGAGCTGGTGAAAAAAGAGGGAAGTGGTGAGTGGTGAGAAAGTTCTTCATTAGAATCATAGGTATTAAAAACAAATGCCTGTGAATGTCCTTATTGAAATGGCTGGCTTAGAAATCTGACCTAGAAAATCGGTGGCTCCTTCTGCCGGGAAATGTCTTGAGTTCCCCCACCTCATGCTTGTCAGCCTCTCACTGGAGTTTTGATGCATTGAGTACAAGGAAACCAGACAGCAAAGGTGGAACCTGGGCATAGACACTTCTTATGTCTTCCTAAAATTGTGAAAAATTAATCGGAGCTATCTGTACCTTAAGCTATATGGGCATTAGCCAACTGAGGTGGCAGTTGCCTGTGATCGCAGCTACTCAGGAGGCTGAGATGGGAGGATCATTTAAGCCTGGGAGGCACAGGTTTCAGTGAGCCAAGATTGCGCCACTGCACTTCAGCCTGGGTCACAGAGTGAGAACCTGTCTCAAAAATGAAAAGCAAGGGCCGGGCGCGGTGGCTCACGCCTGTAATCCCAGCACTTTGGGAGGCCAAGGCGGGTGGATCACCAGGTCAAGAGATCAAGACCATCCTGGTCAACATGGTGAAACCCCGTCTCTACTAAAAATACAAAAAAAATTAGCTGGGCACGGTGGCACGTGCCTGTAATCCCAGCTACTCAGGAGGCTGAGGCAGGAGAATTGCCTGAACCCAGGAGGCAGAGGTTGCGGTGAGCCGAGATCGCGCAATTGCACTCCAGCCTGGGTAACAAGAGCGAAACTCCGTCTCAAAAAAAAAAAAAAAAAAAAAAAAAAAAAAGAAAGAAAAACAAAAATAGGCTGGCCACAGTGGCTCACAACTATAATCCCAGAACTTTGGGAGGCTGAGGTGGGTGGATCACTTGAGGTCAGGAGTTTGAGGCCAGCCTGCCAACGTGGTGCAACTCCAACTCTACTAAAAATAGAAATAAATAAATTACATGCGTAGGAAGACCGGATAGCAGACTAGCCTTCCAGATAATTTATTGCCTTATAAGCCTATGCTGATAAAACTTTCCCTTCCAACATTACTGGGAAGTTTTTTCTTTTTTTTCAAAACTAATTTTCTTTTCTTCTGGCATCAAATCTAACAAGGAAGAGAAAAGAGGAAACACATTGGACATCTTCTTACTAACTCAGATATTCTTGATATCTTGGTCTCTAGGTCACTGTAAAGCCCCAGGTCATTTTCTGTTTGCTAAGCTGAGAACCCAAACCAATGCATCTGACTTTCCCATTGGGACATCTTTAAAGTACGAATGCCGTCCTGAGTATTATGGGATGCCATTCTCTATCACATGTCTCCGTAACCTGGTCTGGTCAAGTCCCAAAGACGTCTGCAAACGTGAGTGACTTACATTGGCTCTTTCCCATGTCTGCCAACGCGTCTTACTGAATTTTTTTCATATGTGGGATATGAGAAACCTTTTTTCAAAAGTGTTCAGGTAGGTAGATGTAAGAGTTATTCTTGTAGGTCATCCTTGATTATTGTTTGAAATGCTTACTTCATGAGAATGTTTCAAGAAATATTTATAAAGAAAATATTTCCTATGGGAAAGTAAATAATAAATGACTGTAGATCAGGGGGAAAATTGTGTAGGAATATAAATTCTGTTTGAATAACTAGGTGGGAAGAAATCCTCTGAAAACATTGAAATATATTGGTAGTGCATAATGCCACGAATGACTTTTACATTTTGGTAGGGGATGCAAGGTCTCTACACAGATCTAAACCTAGATCTAGATAGATCTGGAGGGAAGGTCTTTTTGAAAGTGGGGCTTAGTAGTTGGCTGATCCTGAGGTGCTCTGATGAGTTTCTCAAGGTGGGAGAATCTGTGGAACCATCAAAACTACGTATTTTCTTTAGGAAGGTACATGCAGGTTGATACCTTATGTACTGAAGAGAGTTCAGATTACCTGGCTCCAAAATACTTTCTTTCTCGTAGGTAAATCATGTAAAACTCCTTCAGATCCAATGAATGGAGTGGTGCATGTGATGACAAACATCCAGGTTGGATCCAGAATCAACTATTCTTGTATTACAGGGTGAGTTGGCAGCAACATCTCTTGGTTCAAGAGTTCTGGCACAGCCATACACCTTCTAGCCACATCTCAGGAAGGAAACTAGGCTATTGCCACCTGCTCTTAAGAGGCTTGAACACAGGTGTTAATGCCTGATTGAAATGCACATATAAAGAGTATGGCATTCACTGGATGGGAAGGAAAATAAATTAAGAAAGAGTATAGTACTCAAAGCACACAATCAACGCCAGCCCAGAGTAGACATTGCTGGAAGAAAGAGAAGGCCATGTAGCATCTGTGTGAGAGAACAAATCTTACTGGTAACAGCATGATTGCTTTCTAGGGCTGCCATCACCAAGTACAGGCCTTCCTCGTTTTATTGCGCTTCGCAGATTTTATGCTTTTTACAATTGAAGGCTCGTGCCAACCCTGCCACAAGCACGTCTGTCGGCATCATTTTTCCAACAACATGTGTTCACTTTGTGTCTCTCAATATCCCAAACGTTTTCATGATTATCACGTCTGTGACAGTGATCTGTGATCAGGGATCTTTGATGTGACTATTGTCACTGTTTTGGGTCACTACGAACTGCACCCATATAAGACAGAAAATTATGTGCATGCTTTGACTGCTCCATGAACTAGACACTCCCCTTCTCTCTCCCTCTCTTCAGGACTTCCTAATACCTGAGACACAATAATACTAAAACTAGGACAATTAATAGCCCCACAATTGCCTTTAAATATTCACATGAAGGGATGAATCATGCATCTCTTACTTTAAATCAAAAGCTAGAGATGATGAAGTTTAGTGAGGAAGATACCCTGAAAGTCAAGATAGGCCAAAAGCCAGGCCTCGTGCACCAAACAGCTAGTGAGTTGTAAAGGCAAAGCAAAAGTACTTCAGGAAATTTAAAGTGATATTCCAGGGAACACGTGAATAATAAGACGGTGAAACAGCCTTATTGCTAATGCAGAAGTTTTAGCGGTCAGATAGAAGATCAAAACAGACACATTTTCTTAAGTCAAAGTCTAATCCTGAGCAAGGCCCTGACTCTCTTCAATTCAGTGAAAACTGACAGAGGTAGGAAGCTGCAGAAAAAAAAAAAAAAGCTGGAAGCTAGCGGACGTTGGTTCCCGAGGTTTAAGGAAAGAAGGCGTCTCCATAACATAAAGGTGCAAGATGAAGCAAGAAGTGCTGATGTAGAAGCCGCACAATTTGTCTGACTAAGATCTGACTAAGATCATTGATGAAGGTGTTACACTAAATAGCAGATTTTCCATGTAGACAAAACAGCTATCAATTGGACTTTCACAGCTAGAGTGGACAAGTCAATGTCTGGCTTCAAGGCTTTAAAGGATAGGCTGACTTTTTAGGAGCTAATGCTGTTGGTGACTTTTAGTTGAAGCCGATGCTCACTGACCATTCTAAAAATCCTAGAGCCCTTATGAATCATGCTAAATGCACCTTGCCTGTACTCTATAAATGAACAACAAAGCCTGATGGCAGAGGTATGTTTGCAGTGTGGCTTACTGAATATTTTAAGCCCGCAGTTGAGCTCTAGCGCTCAGAAAAACAGATTCCGTTCAAAATATTGTTGCTCATTGACATTGCACCTCATCAGCCAAGGCCTCTGATGGAGATGGACAAGGAGATGAATGTAGTTTTCCTGCCTGATGACAGCAGCTATTCTGCAGTCCATGGCTGAAGTAGTAATTTTGACTTTCAAGTTTCAGTATTTAAGAAATACACTTTGTAAGGTTGGAGTTCCCACAGACAGCAATTCCTCTGATGGAGCTGAACAAAGTTAGTTGAAAACTGCAGGGAAGAATTCATCATTCTACATACCATTAAGAGCGTTCATGATTCGTGGGAAGAGGTTAAAATATCAACATTAACAGGAGTTTGGTAGAAGTTGATTCCAATCCTCACGGAGAACTTTGTGAGGTTCAAGACTTCAGTGGAGAAAATAACTGCAGACGTGGTGGAAATAGCAAGAGAACCACAATTAGACGTGGAGCCTGAAGATGTTACTGAATAGCTACAATCTCATGATCAAACTTGAACAGATGAGGAGTTGCTTCTTATGAATGAGCAGACAAAGTAGTTTTTTTGCGATGGAGTCTCTTCCTGGTGAAGATGATGTGAGCATTTCTTAAAATGACCACAAACAATTTAAAATATTACATAAACTCAGTTGATAAAGCAGCAGTAGTATCTGGGAGGATTGACTCCAATTGTGAAAGCAGTTCAGAGGGTAAAATGTTGTCAAACAGCATTGCATGCTAGAAAAATCTTTTGCGAAAGGAAGAGTCAATGTGGCAAATTTTATTGTTGTCTTAACTTAAGAAATTGCCACAGCCACCCCAGCCTTCAGCAACCACCACCCTGATCAGTCAGCAGCCATCAGCCTTGAGGCAAGACCCACCACCAGCAAAAAGATGATGACTTATTCAAGGTCAGATAATCTTTAGCATTTTTTATCAATAAGCTATTTTTTGAAGTATGACTTTTTTTAGACATACTGCTATTTCACACTTAATAGACTACAGTATAGTAAAAACACAACTTTTAGACTCACTGAGAAATCAAAAAGTTCATATGACTCATTTGCTGTGCTATTTGTTTCATTGTGGTGGTCTGGAACTGAACCTGCAATACCTTTGAGGTTCGTCTATAACACGAAATGGCCGGCTTAATACAAGGAAGTTTTTGGAGCTCTGTTCTGGAGTCTGGAAGTCCAAAATCAAGGTGTTGGCAGGGACACGCTCCCTCTGAATCCTGTCGGGAAGGATCCTTCATTGCATCTTCCAGCTTCTGGAGCCCCAGGGCTTCCTTGACGTGTTGCAACAGAACTCAAATTTCTGTCTCTGTCCTCACGTGGCCGTCTTCCCTCTGGGTCTGTGTCCTCACATGCGGTTCTCCTCTCTGTGCATGTGTGTGTCCTGAGTTTTCTCTTTTGATAAGAATGTCAGTCATATTAGGGCCTACCTTAATGGCCTCCTCTTAACTCGACTGGATCTGCAGATTGTATTTCCAAATAAGATCATATCCACAGGGACTGGGGTTAAGACTTCAACATATTTGGGAGAGACACAATTCAAATGATAACAGAGCCCCTTTGAAAATGTCAAACGTCAAGCTCACGGTACATGGTCCAGCTGTTGGTCCTCACCTTTCCCCAGCACACACTGGAGGCCCTGCCTCAATCTCACTCTTCATGGGAACAGCTAAGCCAGGTAGTGAGTAGGGGCTGTGTTTGTGCCACTGCAACAGACACTGCAAGGCAGCTTGTGATGCTCAGCAGCATATTTGCCAGACTCGGCCTCACAGACCATAGCACCTAGAATCTAACAAGGTAAAATTAGAATAAATCTAACTTCTTTTCTTTCTCTTTTTTTTTTTGGAGCATTTTAAAAATACAATTGATAAATTTCCTGACTGTATCCTCCTCATCTTGCATTGCTGAATAAGTGCGAACCTCTCTATGGTATAAAGCAGAAAATCACTGAGCTTATGACAAGAAACAGGAATGCATGTAAAAGAGACCAAGTTGAAAAATCAGGAGAAATTTCCTCCTACAAAAGAGATTTACTGCCAAGAAACCGGGGAAACTTTCAGAACACTCTCCTTTTCTTATTTTTTAAAAAGATTCAGTTGTACAAATACTTCTATGAAACTAGCCAGGAAGTTTGTACATGAATGAATATATGTTTTCAGTGTGTTTATATATTTCACTTCATACATGTGTCATACATATACATATATACATATAACAAACACAATGAATATTGCAGAAAATTAAAGCAAAGAGTAAGAAGAGTTAACCAGATTTTCCTGAATGCAGTGGGAAAAGATGGAAAAGACAGACTGGCAGGCACAGTGGCTCATACCTGTAATCCCAACACTTTGAGAGGTCGAGGCAAGGGAACCACTTAAGCCCAGGAGCTCGAGACCATCCTAGGCAACAAGGCAAAATCCTATTTCTACAAAAAAGTATAAAAATTAGCTGGGCATGGTGGCATGCACCTGTAGTCACAGCTATGCAGGAGAGTGAGGTGGAAGGATCACCCGAGCCCAGGACGCTGAGGCTTCAGCGAGCTGTGACGGCACCCCTGCACTCCAGCCTGGATGACAGAATGAGACCCTATCTCAAAAAAAGAAAGAGAGAAGACATATGTAAGACAATGTTAGGATTCAAAATAAATGTAACAAAAATTCCAAAAGGATAAAAAAGTAAGCCCATACCTAGCCATCACTAGGGAAAATCTTCGTTTCAGGGATAGACAAAAAACCTCAGTTTCCAGAAATAAAATGTGAAAATATGATACCCACAAAAGAAATAAATTTATTGGCACCACCTTGATTCTACACAACACTAAATTGTATAAGATAGCAGTTCTGTTGAGCCAAGCTAATATTCACACCTGGAGGCTCCAGATACACATTAAAAGATAAGCAAAGACATAAAAATTATAACATTTAAGCATATTTCCCAGGCAATTCATAAGCAAATTTTTAAAAAGGAGAATGATGAATTCCAAGAGAAATATCAATAAGTTCGAGAATTGGTAAAAACAAACAACAACAAAACATTAAACCATACACACAGAAACTTGGCAATGTAATCACAATTTAGCAATAATCTCTCTAAAATCATAGAACATACCAGTAAAACTAGAAAATGTGAGGAAACAAGAAAAGGTAGGCTAGACTTACATTTCAGAAAAGATGAGTAGACTGGCTATGCAGAGTTAGACTCTAAAAGTGAGAAAATAAGTTTACATATATGTCATGTATATATGTACAATCCACATGCACACATATAAAAGGAAATTCCTCATTGGAAAAATATTGTTTAATTTCCAAATATTAGAATAACTAAAACAGCTGAATCCATCTGCTCCATATAGCAAGTGAGAGGGAAGGAAAAGGGATAGCAGGGAATGCATTTGTCTCTTCCACCGAAAAGAAGCCCCTCAGGTTTGGGTCAGGTCATTTTATTCATTGCTTACTCCTCGTCCTCATCATTGGACATCATGACATCAATGAAAAAGGCAGCGAAAGAATGATAACAAAAGCCAATCAAATGTATCATTCATCTAAATACATTTGGGTTAATCTTCTTGTTGAAAGACAAAGTCTCCTAGAGAGGACCAAAAGCAACAAATCTTATATTTATTAAAAAACACGTCTCAAATAAAATGTCACAGTATTATACGCACACACACACATCAAGGGAAAATGCAAACAAAAAATGGTAGAAATAATATGAGAAAAGATAGAACTTAAGAAAAACATTGTCAAACAGGTCTATGAAATAATTGTGTTATTTTGGCGCCAGGTACAGTCCACAATGAAGCCAAGATATTAAAAGAAGCAAAGTGGGCCAGGAGAAGTTAGAGCAGAAATATCCCTTACAATAGTGAGAGAATAGGAAAGAGAAATGAAAGCAGCTGGGAACACACTGGAAGTTTAGGCTGGGCCGTAGACTTCACCTGCATTGTAATCCTTCTGGGTTGCCACATACGCACGCTGTGAGGAAGCTGCTGAGGTTTCCACAGCAAAATTCTTCTCCATTGTTTGCCTTTAGGTACCGCCTCGTTGGTCAGTCATCTGCTGAATGTATCCTCTCAGGCAATGCTGCCCATTGGAGCACAAAGCCACCAATTTGTCAAGGTGAGTTGAAATATTTTTCCCCGCTTACCTCACCAATGAATCCTAGAGTTGTCCTCCTAGAATTACAAAGGATGAATCTCATCCCTCTTGAAATGGGATCCTTTTGATATTTGAAGAATGCAGTCATATCCCAGTCATATCCTAAAAACGGCTCACAGCATTCCCTTCCACCTTCATCTAGAAATGTTTTTTTTTTCCTTATCTTAAGGGGTAATTTATTTTAAACTAGTCTTGAGCTCATTTAAACAACCCCCAATTCCCTCTTCCCAGTTTGAAGAGCATTTTCTTTAGTGAAGTCAACGAATACAAAATCAGTGAAAGAAACACTATATCCTCTCTGCGGGCTCTTAGTACCACAGCAGATACTCAAGCAATGCAGCCCTTTCTTCCTTTTTATTCTTAGTCTAAACAGGTGCATGCCATCTTCCCTGTCAGTTGTTTGGAAGATGAGCTTCCTAGATTTTGGGGAGCAAAGAGGAATGAGCCATTGCAAGCTAACAAGGAATGTAAAATGGATATAATCCTGGGTTTGGTGATGGTGTGAGGAAATCAGCAATTTCAAACACAACTGGTGGGAGGACAAGTGGATGCAAACTTTGTGGAAGGCTGATCTGGCTGGGCACCCTGTTCTACTGTAGAGTAGGATGCAGTATTCGGTTTTTCCAAGATCAGACAAGATTGGGGGAATTCAGGGTGGTTTGGCTGTTGATCAATATTCAGTTCTTTTTATTACTTCTGAATCTGCAAGTATTGTGTTTATTATGTGTAATATTGTATACTTGTGCTTTGTGTAATATTGTATATTTTTGCTTTGTCTTTATTAGTTCTGCCAGAGCTTTTTTTTTTTTCTATTTAATAAAGATGCTATACTGGGCAAGGTATGGTGGCTCATACTGTAATTCCAGCACTTTGGGAGGCCTTGGTGGGCAGATCAATCGAGCTCAGGAATTCAAGACTAGCCTATACGACATGATGAAACCGTGTCTCTACAAAAATACAAGATCAAACGGGCATGGTGGCCATTTGACTGTACACCTATAGTCAAAACTACTCGGGGGGTTGAGAGGTGGGAGGATTTCTTGAACCAGAGAGATCAAGGCCGCAATGAGACATGATCATGCCAATCAAATGTATCATTCATCTGGGCCTGGGCAGCAGGGCAAGATCCTGTCTAAAAAAAAATGCTACACTATATGCTTTGTTATATTAATAACCAATAGAATAAAGCCAAATGCCTCCTATATAGAGAGAGAACTAAATTAATAATGGTGAGATAACATAGTTAAATTCTCATTTAGCAGGAGAAATATAAACATATACTATAGGCCAGGCACAGTGGCTCACACCTGCAATCCCAGCACATTGGGAGGCCGAGGCAAGCAGATCACTTGAGGTCAGGAGTTCGAGACTAACCTGGTCAACATGGTGAAACCTGTCTCCACCGAAAATACAAAAGTTAGCCCAACATGGTGGAGCATACAGGTAACTCCAGCTACTCAGGAGGCTGAGGCAGGAGAATATCTCGAACCTGGAAGGCAGGGGTTGCAGTGAGCCAAGATCATGCCACTGCACTATAGCCTGGGTGACAGAGTGAGACTATGTTCTCAAAAAAAAAAAAAAGTGGACTATAATAATATATGGACACATTTAGTGAAGTAATGTTAACTGAGAAGAGCAGAACTCATAATATTATAAAACTGTAAGAATATGTCTGTACATTAGCCAATATTAAATGAGAATAATATTATGAATGTTTACTTCTGCTAATTTTGGATTTAAAAAAAACTGTTAGCAAAATTTATACTAAACTATAATTTCAAGAAACTAGGCCAGGGGTGGTGGCTCTCACCTACAATTCCAGCATTTTGAAAGGTCGAGGCAGGCAGATTGCTTGAGGCCAGGAGTTCAAGACTAGCCTGGCCAAACCCAATCTCTAATAAAAATGCAAAAATTAATCAGATATGGTGGTGCATGCCTATAATCCAGCTACTCGGGAGACTGAGGTGGGAAGATTTCTTGACCCGGGAAGCGAAGGTTGCAGTGAGCTGTGATCGTGCCACAGCACTCAAGACTCTGTCCCAAGGTTTTGTTTTGGTTAACTTGCTGTCTCTTTTCCCAGAAATTCCTTGTGGGCTGCCCCCCACCATCACCAATGGATATTTCATTAGCACCAACAGGGAGTATTTTCACTATGGATCAGTGGTGACCTACCACTGCAATTCTGGAAGCGGAGGGAGAAATGCGTTTGAGCTCGTGGGTGAGCGCTCCATATACTGCACCAGCAATGAGGATCAAGAGGGCATCTGGAGTGGCCCGGCCCCTCAGTGCATTATACCTAACAAATGCACGCCTCCAAATGTTGAAAATGGAATAATGGTATCTGGCAACAGAAGCTTATTTTCCCTAAATGAAGTTGCGGAGTTCAGGTGTCAGCCTGGCTTTGTCATGAAAGGATCCCCCCGTGTGCAATGCCAGCCCCTGAACAAATGGGAGCCAGAGTTACCAAGCTGCTCCAGGGGTGAGTCTGCCTGATACCCAGAAGGGCCCTGCAAATGCCATGAGTTGCTGCTGGATCAGGAGATTAGTATTTGTTCAGAGGGAGGGATGTGTGGTGAGCGGAGTGGGAGACCAAGTTTGGGGAAAGAAGTATGAAATTAAGAATCGGGGTGTGCATGCACCCATGCATATGTGTCTGCACTGTGAAAAGCAAGACCTTAATAAGCCAAGAAAGAAGAGTTTGGACTCACCTGTTAATCAGTTACCAGGGCAAAGTACCAGCTACACTATCTCTCAATTATATTGAAAAATCATATGGACTTTCTTTATGGTCAGCTGTGCACTGAGCACTTTATATATATTTTCTCATTTATTATTTACAATAACACTTTGAAATTGTGCTGCTGTAATATCCATTTAAGAGTGAAGTCGGGCCGGGCGCGGTGGCTCACGCCTGTAATCCCAGCACTTTGGGAGGCCGAGGCGGGTGGATCACAAGGTCAAGAGATTGAGACCATCCAGGTCAACATGGTGAAACCCCGTCTCTACTAAAAATACAAAAAATTAGCTGGGCATGGTGGCGCATGCCTGTAATCCCAGCTACTCGGGAGGCTGAGGCAAGAGAATTGCCTGAGCCCAGGAGGCGGAGGTTGCGGTGAGCTGAGATTGCGCCATTGCACTCCAGCCTGGGTAACAAGAGCGAAACTCCATCTCAAAAAAAAAAAAAAAAAAAAAAAAAAAGAGTGAAGTCAGCCTGGCCTTTCAGAGGTTAGGTAAATTGGCCAAGTCACATGCTCGAGCTGAGACACCCAAGATTTTAAAAGGCAAGGTTCTCAGACCCCAGAGTCTGAATGCTGTGGCTCTTGCCATACTTCTATCAGCATCCATTGGTGAAAGAAAGAGACTGGTTTACAAAGACCAGAAATCAGAGCATCAGAATAGAGACAAAGACGTTAGAGTTTATCTATAATGGTCTGCCTCCTACATTTTATTTTGTGTTTTATTTTATTAAAAACCTATATATTAGGGTTAAGGTCCATCTCTGTTGCCCAGGCTGATCAATGATACAGTGATACCGTCATGGCTCATTGCAGCCTCAAACTCCTGGGCTCAAGCCATCCACCTCCTACATTTTATGCCCAGGAATCTAAGAGTGAAAGTAACTTGCTCAAAGGCAGTTAAGTAACGATTTTTAAGTTCATCTTGAATGAGGTGCAGATTAGGTTGATGTTATATGGGTTCTGATGCCCTAAGCATGGAGAACAGGACTGTAAATAAAGGCAGACGTTGAGTCAGACACTCTCCAAATAATATGTCCTCTCTCGACAAAGGGCTGGCTTATTTAAGGGCTTTTGTTTTTGGTAGCTCATCTTGTCTACTGGTGTCACAATAGCTGGTTTAGCAGTGGAGTGGGAGGTGTAATGGCTGATACATAGGGACAGAGAAGAAGCTTACAATTCTACCAACCCGTGTTAGCCTTGTGCGACCACTGAGCTGGGAAGACGAACAGATAAAGACACACAAAGTTGGATGTATTGAGGTCGGAGATGGGCAGGGCTTGTGTTGTGTTCACAATCCTGCTGACCAAAACAGGATCTGGCTTAGATAGGATGAAGTGAAGAAACAGCAGGAACCAGCAGATGGCGATGAAAGCAATCCCCAGCTGCCCTCACATTCCCATCAGCCCCATGATTTACAAACAGCCATGGCAATGACCCGGAAGTTACCACCCCTTTTCTGTAGAGTTCTAAATAACTCACCCCTTAATTGGCATTGATCACTTCTTAATTTACCCGTAATTGAAGCAGGTTTAGAAGAGTACAAATACAATTGCCTGCTAGGAGCCCGTATGTTGCCAACTCTGGACACACTGCCTGTGAGTTAGCAGTGCTCAGCAAGGGGCAGTGTCTTTCACCAAAGGATTTCTATCTAGCACCACTGGGTCATCTTTGAATTCTTTCTTAGGTGAGGCAAGAACTCTTCCAGAATAAGCCCCAATTTGGGGCTTGCCTGTCCTGAAACAGTATGACTGTACTTTAGTCATAGGTGTGCAATCAGAGAAATGGGGGTGGGGGGAATCAGTTAAACAGGCTTGGGCTTAGGTGACAGTCTCATTACCTGAATAACGGGTGAAAACTGGGATTGCCTTCCTAGGAAGCACGTAGATGGAGAATCCACCAATACTAACAACTCCACACTGGATAGCAAGAGCTAGGAGAAAAAACCTCATGCCCTGTAGATTTACAAGTGAATTTGAGGTCTTGTGCTAGGGAGAATTGGGTTCTGTTGCTCTCCCTCTGACTAGTTGTGAGGGCTTCAACAAGCATAAGCTATAGCAAAGGAAATCCCCCCATAACTAACAAGTACTCTGGAACTATCCTTCCCACAGTGTGTCAGCCACCTCCAGAAATTCTGCATGGTGAGCATACCCAAAGCAATCAGGTCAACTTTTCACCTGGGCAGGAAGTGTTCTACAGCTGTGAGCCCGGCTATGACCTCAGAGGGGCTGCTTCTCTGCACTGCACACCCCAGGGAGACTGGAGCCCTGAAGCCCCCAGATGTGCAGGTACCTCGACTCTCTGGCTTCTCGATTGCTCTCTGTAACCCTCACATGGAGGTCTTACTCCTATTTTTTTTTTATTCTAGTGAAATCCTGTGATGACTTCTTGGGTCAACTCCCTCATGGCCATGTGCTGCCTCCACTTAATCTCCAGCTTGGGGCAAAAGTGTCCTTTATTTGTGATGAAGGGTGAGTGTGACTCAGAATTAAGATCAGCGACTCAGCTCTGGAGAGTGACTCTTGAGCTCAAGGATCAATCCAAAAAGAGGGCTGACCTAGGAAAAGAAGAACACAAGGAGATTAACTTCTGAAAGTGTGGTTTAAAAAAGGGTAGGGGCTAAGTGGCAGTACTATCGGGAGATAAAGTGATAAAGAAAAAGTGGCACATACAACTCAGTGTCAAGTACAAACAGAAAGACAGCCAGCAGTCCAGAAAAGGAGACTGACCTAGTGCAGAGAAGTACTGGAGGAGAATAATATCTGAAACAATGATTGGGAAGTGCGGGATGAACCAGATGGATCCATGAACAGAGGTTTAAAAAGGAAAAAGCTCAACTCATTTGATTTCTCACTGATAGAGTCTCAGGAATCAAATCGTTTTGGGAAATATGCAGCTTCCAGTGAGGGACAAAGCAGAAACAACAAGAGAAATAAAACAGATCTTGGAAAAAAAACTGTGTGTGTGTGTGTGTGTATGAGTGTGTATATATATATATATATATATATGACATTAGATGTATGAACAAATGATAATTTGCATACATGAAGAGATAAATATTCTAAGGGGTTGTTAAGAAAAGTTTGTTATAAGAGAAAGTTGTGTATAAGATAAATAACATGCAAAGATTATTTCACAAAACTTTTAAACAAATAAATAGTGGAATTCGTGGTAAGAATGAAAGAGTAAGTAAAAATATTTTAAAATCCAATTACACATGATTGACAGCTTTGCCAGCTGTTGTTGCTTTGTCCTCACTGAACGCTACACTTTCTCCAACATGATTTGTCTTCTGAGCCTGTCAGTGAGAAACAAGGTGAACTGAGTGCTTTTACCTGTGCTTTAGCTGAGCAGTGAAATGTTAATTAAGTCAGGAATTCTCAGGGAGGAGGCCGAGATCTGTCAGTGAAGGGAAGAGAGAAATGGTGCCTTCATCCAGACACTACTGCTTTGTTCTTTAGGTTTCGCTTGAAGGGCAGTTCCGTTAGTCATTGTGTCTTGGTTGGAATGAGAAGCCTTTGGAGTAACAGTGTTCCTGTGTGTGAACGTGAGTAGATGAAATACTTCTTCAGTCTGGATCTTTCTCTTTGTTTTTTTCTGAATGTGGTTTGCCCCATGAGATGATCTATTGTTTGTCCCACTATTTATGTCCATTTTTAATAGAAATTGTTTTCTGTTGGAGTAGATACAGGCAATGTTTAGGGGTAAAATAAACCTGAGCATCATGTGGTTTTGGGTAACATCCTATAAATATTTATGAGGAGAGTCTGTGCTATAAATAGAGAGAAATGCTTCATAGAAATAAATGTACGGCAAGACGCTATGCTAAATTTTTCTCTTCTTTCCTGTCAGAAGTAATGGTCACACGTCAACTTTTCAGTTCTTCCCTCAGTTACCCATTTAGTCATCTACTCATTCTTTCAACACAAAATTATTTGAGCACTTGTTAGTGCCAAGCAATCTTCTGGGAACTGGGAATATGCCTATAAACAAGACAGATAAGTCCATGTTTATATTTTCGTGCAAGAATAAAGACAAAATAAAACAAAAACATGAATAGAAATGTTCAGATAATACCAAGTGTTATTAAGAAAATGCTCTTAATTGATTCAGTGCTGCTGTCAGTTGAGAAAGTAGCTGAGGACCCCAAAGGCAAGTGTACCTCTAGGTGTAGCTGAGGGTTCCAACTGGGAGGCTGTTGCAGCAATTTAATCAGAGATGTTGGCCCAGGATAGCCACTGGGAAAGGTGATGATGAGAAGTGATCAAATTCTGAATATATTTTCAAGGTGCAGATGACAGGATTTGTTGATGGTTTGCTTATGTGAGAGAAAGAGAAGAATCATAGACAGTTTCCAGGTTTTTGGCCAGAACGACTGCCAGGGTAGAATTTCCCTTAGCTGAAATGCAGGGGACTGCATGAAGTTTGGGAGTGGGGGAAATCAAAAGTTAAGCTTAGGACATAAGTTTCATATTCCTCTTAATATCCAGATGGGTATCTTGGAGAGACCCAGCCTGCCCATAGGTAGGTAAAAGCCATCATTGTATCTGCTGTGCTTAAAATCAGGACTGAAAGAGATCCTCACCTAGGGAGTGAGTGCTGCTCAAGAACAGATGCTTGGACTGAGCCTGGATGTCCAGGATTAAGAGTTGAAAAGGTGAGAAGGAATTATGATGAAAGGGATTATGATGAGGCAGCCACTGCAGTAAGAGAAAACACGGGAGGGTGAGGTGCCCTGGAAGCCAAGTGGGGAAATTCTATTAAGGAGATTAGACTAACCAACTCTGTCAAATGCTATAGAGAGGTCAAATTCGGTGGGCACAGAAAATTGAACTTTGGGTTTAGCAACTTGGAGGTAACAAGTGGCAGTTTCAGTAGAGTGCTGGCAAACACTGATTGGAGTGAATTCTTGGGAGAATGAACGGGAGGAATTTAACAGAACACAGACAATATTTTAGAGGAGCTTTATGTAAAGAGAGTAGAAGTAGGACTATAGCTGGGGAAGGAAATGGCAGCAAGAGGGGGTGCTTTTTATTTTTAAGAGGGCAGAACATAGTGTGTAAAAAACAGAAACATTATTATGTCCAATCTGTTCATTTACTTCTTCACTAAATCAATCAGCGATATTGCTTCCCCTTCTAAGCATAGCTATTAAAAATACATGTTTACAATAGAATTTTGCTCAAATGAATACTTTGCTTTAAAATATTTCAATGTCTCATACTGATTTATATGATGAAACATGATAGTATCATCTTGCATACGTGGAAGTCAGCTACTTGACAAACAGCAAGTCAACTGTTTCCCTGAAGTAGTTAAGAAGTATGAGAGAAAAACAAGAGAAAATACCCTCCTGAAGCCAACATATGCCTGAAATCACTGACCAGAGTGTAAACATCGGTTAAGCTATTTTAGCCTTGCGTTAGTTTATCTACAATTTTTTTAAGCTGTAATATCCTCTTCCAAAATTCAAAGCAAATTAGAAAGGGGAAGGAATGTCTCCAAATAGAGGCATTCCAAAGAATAAATGTATTTTTTTAACATTAAAAAAATCCTTTAAAAACCAATGAGTATCTCAAAAAAACCTAACATTCTTGAGCCTTTTGAAACACATACAAGAGTACACAGTATATTTTATTTCATTATGACAGCATTACTGTAATCTTTCATATTTATTTTGAAAATCATTGCCTGGCATCATAAAGACAAATTAAATCACTGATATACAAATAGTAAGTGCATAATATATTTTAGAACGATGTCTCCAGGATGCAGATTCTTGGTGTCAAAGATCATATTTATCTTGGGCTTAAAATGGCACTGGACATACAGCAGGTACTCAAAAAATGCTTACTGAATTAATAGATGATTTCCCTTTAATGTGGCTATGAAGATTTTTATTGACTTTAAAGGAATATACTATTTATTACTCAGAAATCTTGACTGTCTGAAAAATGTAGTATGCTTAATTTGGGGAAGACTTTTGTAATGAACATTGATTAATTGTCATTTCATTTGTCTCCATCCTAGCAGTTTCTACTTGCCTTAAGAAAAAAGTACGCTTAACTAGTGACACAGACACCGTATGACAACTATGAAATCACCTTGGATTTGAATTTAAAATTTTAAATGGAATTGAGAGCTCTTGTTTTCTTTCTAGAAATCTTTTGTACAAATCCTCCAGCTATCCTTAATGGGACACATACAGGAACTCCCCTTGGAGATATTCCCTATGGAAAAGAAATATCTTACACATGCGACCCCCACCCAGACAGAGGGATGACCTTCGACCTCATTGGGGAGAGCACCATCCGCTGCACAAGTGACCCTCAAGGGAATGGGGTTTGGAGCAGCCCCGCCCCTCGCTGTGAACTTTCTGCTCCTGCTGGTCAGTATCTCCTTCCACATATCCTAAATGGGTTCAGAACATCTGGACCCAATCCTTCATGTCTCTATAATAAGAGTGTGGTATTTGTTTATGAGATTAACTTTGTCATAAGTGGAAATGTCAAAATGGCATACTGTAGCTAAAACAGATGGGTTTCAGCAGTGCCAAGGTGTGTTTGAATTGATAAGATGAGCAGAATTCTTGCTGGTGGAGTGGAGAAGGGTGGGGTAAGGGGACTGAAGGGAGCGGAGGAAGAAAGGCAGCAAGACACAGTTATGAAAATCAGGAAGAAAAATGTATTCACTGGAGAGGACATGAAAACAACTGCCTATGAACACTAGCCAGTATCAGTATAATTGACAGACACGCTCCGTAAGTTCATGAGACGCACGTGGGCATGCAAAGTTCAAAATCGGAAATGTGGATATAATTTAGCTAAGGTTTTAACTAGTGTTTTCCTGCATGGGCTAACCAAAAAGACTCTTTGTCTTGACTAAAAGTTTGTCCACTTGTCAGCTTGCCTCAGGGCCAACTTTGTTTTTGTACTTGAACTGTTCCACCCGGGGATAAGAAGCAAGGAAATCAGTAGCCCAAAGAAAAGAGTATGAAAAGGAAGAGGCTGTTTCTTCCTAAGGACGGGAGAAGTTTCCTGATCCTTTAGGGCAAACATTCGGCCTTTTCCAGAACAGAAGCTGGAGTAGATTGGAGATGTGGCACCAGCCTTGGAATATTCCATTATCCACAGGGAAACCCTGAGAGAGAAGAGCAATCCAAGGTGAAAAGGCATTTAAACATGATGAAAGGCATTTAACCTCTCTTTGATCTTTACCCTCCAACTGAGTGGTACCCTTCAGAATCCAGTAAATTTGAGATGGAATCTCACTCTGTCACCAGGCTGGAGCCTGCAGTGGCGTGATCTCGGCTCACTGCAAAGTCCATCTCCTGGGTTCAAGTGATTCTCCTGCCTCAGCCTCCCGACTAGCTGAGGCATGTGCCACCATGCCCAGCTAATTTTTGCATTTTTAGTAGAGACAGGGTTTCACCTTGTTGGCCGGGATGATCTCTATCTCTTGACCTCATGATCCACCCGCCTCGGCCCCACAAAGTGCTGGGATTACAGGCGTAAGCCACTGCGCCTGACCAGAATCTAGTAAAACAATTTTTATTATTTTTTAATTGTACTTTAGGTTCTGGGTACATGTGCAGATCATGCAGGATTGTTGCATAGGTACATACGTGGCAATGTAGTTTACTGCCTCCATCTCTCTGTGACCTACATCTGGCATTTCTCCCCGTGTCATCCCTTCCCGACCTCCCCACCCCCCTGCTGTCCCTCCCTTACCTTCCCCAAGAGACCCTAGTGTGTGATGCTCCCCTCCCTGTGTCTATGTGTTCTCATTGTTCAACGCCCGCCTATGAGTGAGAACATGCAGTGTTTGATTTTTTAATGGAAATGCCTATGCCCCAGTGCAGGCTTAATGAATGAACAGATGGAGGAAGTCTTCTACAAAAAGGAGGTGGTTTAGTTCAAACTCTATTTGAAAACATGCAGCATATGGCTGGGCACGGTGGCTCACATCTGTAATCCCAACACTTTGGAAGGCCGAGGTGAGATGATTGAGGCCAAGAGTTCAAGACCAACCTGGCCAACATAGCAAGACCCTGTCTCTATATAAAACAAAATTTGAAAGTTGCAAATACTGTTAAACAATAAAAGTAAAAATATGCAGCACACAATATACTCTCTCAAAAAGAAGACATAGCCTCTTACAGGAGGCTGACTTAGTCTGTTTAGTTATGGTTCTGTGTGTGTGTGTGTGTGTGTGTGTGTGTGTGTGTGTGTGTGTGTGCTGTGTCTGTTTTTGAGGCAGGGTCTTGCTCGTTTGCAAGGCTCTTGCCCAGGCTGGAGTACAGTGGTGCAATCATTGCTTACTGCAGCCTCTACCTCCCTGGCTCAAGTAAGCCTCCCATCCCAGCCTCCCAAGTAGCTAGAACCACAGGTGCATGCCACCAAGCCCAGCTAACTCTTGTATTTTATGTAGAGTGGGTTTCCTCATGTTACCCAGGCTGGTCCTGAACTCCTGAGCTCAAGCAATCCACCCCAGGAGTGCTGAGACTACCAGGTATGAGCCACTGTGCCCAGCCTATTTTGTTCTATCTTTAAATGCCTGGTTTAGCATCAGAAGAAGAGGAAGACTGTATTAGTTTCCTAGGGCTGTTGTAACAAATTACCACAAACTAGGTGACTTAAAACAAAAGAAACTTATTATTTCACAGTTTTATAGTCTAGAAGTCTGAAATCAAGGTGTTGGCATTTTCCCATCTTCTAAGGCTCTAGAAAATAGCCATTTACTTGCTTCTTCCATCTCCTGCTGGTTTTTGGAATTCTGTGGCATTCCTTGCTTTATGGATGCTTCATTCCAATCCCTGCTTCCATTATAGCCTTTTCCTCTGTGTCTCTATTTTTCAAATCCCTCTGCTTTTTCCCTGATAGGACATCAGTCATTGGATTTAGGGCCCACTCTAAATAAAAGATGATCTAATCTAAAGATCCTAACCTTAATTCTATCTGAAAAATCATTATTCCAAATAAGTTCCTATTCTGAGGTTTTAGGTAGAGATATCTTTTGGGAGAACATCATTCAACTCACTACAAGGGGTATTTGCTTTGAAGGGCCAGAGAGGCACCCTGAGAATGGAGTAGATGGAGAGAGATGATAAAATATGTATCACAACTCATGAGTGAATTAGCACAAATACATGAGGAATTAAGTGGTTAACTGTGGATATAGGCACAGCTATGGGAGGTCTGACATGAAAGTATAAGTTGAAGTTCTTGCTTTGGTGCAATAAGAGCAAAAAGATCAGAAAGCTGAGTAGTCTTCCAAATAGTAAAAGTTTCCTGCTTGAGTAGATGCCATTGAAAGCTCCATCCCAAGATAACATCAAGGGGAAGAAAATCTTTTGCTATTCTTGTAAGTCTCTTTGTTTCTGTGGTCCCATCTAGTAGCTTAATTGGAGAGAAAGAGAAGGTAGGGTGGAAGTCTCTCTGCTAACTTTGATATTCCTGTGGTTTTGTTCTCCAGGTCACTGTAAAACCCCAGAGCAGTTTCCATTTGCCAGTCCTACAACCCCAATTAATGAGTCTGAGTTTCCAGTTGGGACATCTTTGAATTACGAATGCCGTCCTGGGTATTTTGGGAGTATGTTCTCTATCTCCTGCTTAGAAAACTTGGTCTGGTCAAGCGCTGAAGACAACTGTAGACGTGAGTAACCCCTCCCTGGGAGCTACTTCATGTCTGGGCATTGGTGGAACTGGGCTTGGTGACTCACACCTGTAATCCCAGCACTTTGGGAGGCCAAGGCTGACAGACAGCTTGAGCTCAGGAGTTCGCGACCAGCCTGGGCAACACGGCCAAATCCCATCTCTACAAACAACAACAACAATAAAAACAAAACAGCTGGGATTTGGTTCAGTTTGCTCGAATTTTGGAGGCAGGATGTCTACATTTGCCCGAGGTATTTTTAAAGGGTGAATTTGTACATCATCTCTTCTTATTGCTTGAAGTTTCTGAACCCTGACTAGATGCTCATTTCAGGAGAATAACTCTGACAAAGGAATTAGAAAGAAAATTTACATTCACTGTAGATGACCCTTGATGGCTGAAACTATGAAATGAATGAAACAGGAGTACAAAAGAAATGTATGTGGGTTGCAGTGAACTGTGCTTGGCTAACTAAAAATAGGGAGGATATCCTAAATTTTGAGGCCTTTGATTTTGGCTGGCGGAATAAGAGTACAACACTTTAGCCATAAATGACTTGTTTTGTGTTGTATTGTTTCTGTTGTTGTTGTTTTGTTTTGTTTTGCTTTGAGATGGAGCCTCACTCTATAGCCCAGGCTGGAGCAAAGTGGCACAATCTTGGCTCACTGCAACCTCCTCCTCCTGGGTTCAAGCAAGTCTCCCTGCCTCAGCCTCCTGAGTAGCTGGGATTATAGGTGCCCATCTCTACACCCAGCTAATCTTTGCATTTTTTAGTAAAGATGGGGTTTCGCCACATTGGCCAGGCTGGTCTTGAACTCCTACCTCAGGTGATCCACCCGCCTTGGCCTCCCAAAGTGTTAAGATTACAGGAATGAACCACTTCACCCGGCCCATAAATAATCTTTATTAGGAGATGCAAGGTAGTCTTTTTTAAAGTGGTTTAAAGATTGTGTGGTTCTGAGGTTGTCTGCCAAGTTTCCTCAACATAGTCAATTCTGTTGAAACTATCAGAACTGTATACGCTGTTCAGTATGCCACACTCCAGTTTGAACCTTACAAACAAAGGTAAGTTGAACTCTACACTTAATCCCAAATTCTGCTTTTTCCTCCTAGGAAAATCATGTGGAACTCCTCCAAAACCCTTCAATGGAATGGTTCATGTAAACACAGACACCCAATTTGGATCAACAATTGATTATTCTTGTAATGAAGGGTGAGTTGAAAATACCATCTCTTGAATATTAGTTCCAGAACAGCAGAGCCAACTTCTGACCCAGTCTCAGATAGACAAACTAAACTATTGCTACCTTTACTTTAAAAGCAAGCAATAGGACTTCTAGATGGAGATTATACCTTGGACATAGGCATATGATCAGAGGAATATGAAAATAAAGGAATAATCTGTATTGTATTGTAAACCGGGGAAGGCACCATGTTCCTGTCAGAGGTGGTACATGTGAAACCTGGTCAGGCATTCATTGGATGAAAAGGAGAAGCTTACAAATAAGTAAAAGGAAAACAGGTAGATGAACCATGCAAACCTCCTTAACTGAGATCAGTAGGTACTACAATTGGGTTGGAGGACCCTGAATCAGGATTTGGGAGGGTAAATCTTAATTGTAACAACAGCTCTGGGGGAAGTGTATGCATTAAAAGTACACACAGAGAGCGGACATTTATGAGGTTCTTGCTCTTGACATCTCCTTGGGACAAGTAGCCGGACAAGAAGCCACTGCCTCAACTGAGAAGGGGCTTTTAAAGACTCTGGAGTGGACTTCCAGCAAACTCCAGCAGACCTGCAGCAGAGGGGCCTGACTATTAGAAGGAAAACTAACAAACAGAAAGGAATAACATCAACATCAACAAAAAGGATGTCCACGTGAAAACCCCATCCAAAGGTCACCAACATCAAAGACCACAGGTAGATAAATGCACAGAGATGAGGAAAATCTAGCACAAAACAGCTGAAAATTCCAAAAACCTGAACAGCTCTTCTCCTCCAAAGGATCACAACTCCTTGCCAACAAGGAAACAAAACGGACAGAGAATGAGTTTGATGAACTGACAGAAGTAGGCTTCAGAAGGTGGGTAATAACAAACTCCTCTGAGCTAAAGGAGCATGTTCTAACCCAAAGCAAGGAAGCTAAGAACCTTGAAAAAAAGAGGAATTGCTAACTAGAATAACCAGTTTAGAGAAGAACATAGATGACTTGATGGAGCTGAAAAACACAGCATGAGAACTTCATGAAGGATACACAAGTATCAATAGCTGAATCAATCAAGCGGAAGAAAGGATGTGAGAGATTGAAGATCAACTTAATGAAATAAAGCAGGAAGACAAGATTAGAGAAAAAAAGAATGAAAAGGAATGAACAAAGCCTCCAAGAAATAAGGGACTATGTGAAAAAACCAAACTTATATTAGATTGGTGTACCTGAAAGTGACGAAGAGAATGAAACCTAGTTGGAAAACTACTCTTTAGGATATTATCCGGGAGAACTTCCCTAACCTAGCAAGGCAGGCCAACATTCAAATTCAGGAAATACAGAGAACACCGCAAAGACACTCCTCGAGAAGAGCAACTACAAGACACATAATCGTCAGATTCACCTGTTTGAAATGGAGGAAAAAAAATGTTAAGGGCAGCCAGAGAGAAAGGTCAGGTTAACCACACAGGGAAGCCCATCAGACTAACAGAGAATCTTTCTGCAGAAACCATACAAGACAGAAGAGAGTGGAGCCAATATTCAACATCCTTAAAGAAAAGAATTTTCAACCCAGAATTTCATATGCAGCCAAACTAAGCTTCATAAGCAAAGAAGAAATAAAATATTTTACAGACAAGCAAATGCTGAGAGATTTTGTCACCACCAGGCCTGCCTTACAAAAGCTCCTGAAGGAAGCACTAACATGGAAAGGAACAACTGGTACCAGCCACTGCAAAAACATACCAAGTTGTAAAAACCATTGACACTACAAAGAAATTGCATCAACTAATGGACAAAATAACCAGCTAGTGTCATAATGACAGAATCAAATTCACACATAACAATATTAACCTTAAATGTAAATGAGCTAAATGGCCCAATTAAAAGACACAGTCTGGAAATTGGAGTCACGATCCATGGGTGTGCTGTATTCAGGAGACCCATCTCTTTATTTTGAGCCTATGTGTGTACAACAGGCTTTACAATCCTAATCTCTGATAAGAAAACAGGCTTAAACCAACAAAGATCAAAAAAGACAAAGAAGGCCATTATGCAATGGTAAAGGGGTCAATGCAACAAAAAGAGCTAACTGTCTTAAATAAATGTGCACCCAATACAGGAGCACCCAGATTCATAAAGCAAGTTCTTAGAGACCTACAGAGAGACTTAGATTCCCACACAATAATAGCGAGGGACTTCAACACCCCACTGCCAATATTAGATAGGTCAATGAGACAGAAAATTAACAAGGATATTCAGGACTTGAACTCAGCTCTGGGCCAAGTGACCTCAGAGACATCTACAGAACTCTCCACCCCAAATCAATAGAATATACAATCTTCTCACCACCACACTGCACTTATTCTAAAATTAACCACATAATTGGAAGTAAAACACTCTTCAGCAAATGCAAAAAATAGAAATCATAACAGTCTCTCAGACCACAGTGCAATCAAATTAGAACTCAGGATTAAGAAACTCACTCAAAACCTCACAACTACAGGGAAAGTGAACAACTAGCTCCTGAATGACTGCCGGGTAGATAACGAAATGAAGGCAGAAATAAATAAGTTCTTTGAAACTGATGATAGCAAAGATACAACATAACAGAATCTCTGGGACACAGCTAATGCAGTGTTTAGAGGGAAACTTAGAGCATTAAATGCCTACAGGAAAAAGCACAAAAGATCTAAAATTGACACCCTAATGTTGAAAGAACTAGAGAAGCAAGAGCAAACAAATTCTAAAGCTAGCAAAAAATGAGAAATGATTAAGATCAGAGCAGAACTGAGGGAGATAAAGACACAAAAAAGCCTTCAAAATATCAATGAATCCGGGAGCTGGTTTTTGAAAAGATTAACAAAATATATAGGCCACAAGCCAGACTAAAAAAGAAGAAAAGAAAGAAGAATTAAAGAATTAAATAGACACAATAAAAAATAATAAAAGGGATATCACCACTGATCCCGCAGAAATACAAATTACCATCAGAGAATATTATTAATACCTCTATGCAAATAAACTAGAAAATCTAGAAGAAATGGATAAATTCCTGGACACATACACCCTCCCAAGACTAAACAAGGAAGAAGTCGAATCTCTGAATAGACCAATAATAAGTTCTAAAATTGAGGCAGTAATTAGTAGCCTACCCACTAAAAAAGTTCCAGGACCAGATGGATTCACAGCTGAATTCTACCAGAGGTACAAAGAGGAGCTGGTACCATTCCTTCTGAAACTATCCCAAACAATAGAAAAAGAGGGACTCCTTCCTTACTCATTTTATGAGGCCACCATCATCCTGATACCAAAATCTGGGAGAGATGCAACAAAAAAAGAAAATTTCAGGCCAGTATCCCTAATGAACGTCAACATGAAAATCCTCAACAAAATACCAGCAAACCAAATCCAGCAGCACATCAAAAAGCTTATCCACCATGATCAAGTCTGCTTCATCCCTGGGAGGCAAGGGTGGTTCAACATATGTAAATCAGTTAACCTAATCCATCACATAAACAGAACCAATGACAAAAACCACATGATTATCTCAATAGATGCAGAAAAGGCCTTTGATAAAATTCAACACCCCTTCATGCTAAAAACTCTCAATAAACTAGGTATTGATGGAATGTATCTCAAAATAATAAGAGCTACTTATCATACTGAAAGGGCAAAAGCTGAAAGCCAATATCATACTGAATGGGCAAAAAGCTGGAAGCATTCCCTTTGAAAACAGGCACAAGGCAAGGATACTCTCTCTTACCACTCATATTCAACATAGTGTTGGAAATTTTAGCCAGGGCAATCAGGCAAGGGAAAGAAATAAAGCGTATTCAAATAGGAAGAGAGGAAGTTAAATTGTCCGTTTGCAGATGACATGATTATACATTTAAAGAAAACCGCATCATCTCAGCCCCAAATCTCCTTAAGCTGATAAGCAACTTCAGCAGTTTCAGGATACAAAATCAATGTGCAAAAATCACAAGCATTCCTATGCAACAATGGCAGACAAACAGAGAGCCAAATCATGAGTGAACTCCCATTCACAATTGCCACAAAGGGAATAAAATACCTAGGAATAACTTACAAGGGATGTGAAGGACCTCTTCAAGGAGCACTACAAACGACTGTTCAAGGAAATAAGAGAGGACACTGACAAACGGGAAAACATTCCATGCTCATGCTTAGGAAGAATCAATGTTGTGAAAATGGCCACACTGCCCAAAGTAATTTATAGATTGAATGTTATTCCATCAAACTACCATTGACTTTCTTCACTGAATTAGAAAAAAGCTACTTTAAATTTCATATGGAACCAAAAAGAGCCTGTATAGCCAAGACAATCCTAAGCAAAAAGAACAAAGCTGGAGACATCACACTACCTGACTTCAAACTATACTACAAGGCAAAACAGCATGGTACTGGTACCAAAACAGATACATACATCAATGGAACAGAACAGAGGCCTCAGAAATATTGCCACACATCTACTACCATCTTATCTTTGACAAACCTGACCAAAACAAGCAATGGGGAAAAGATTTCCTATTTAATAAATGGCGCTGGGAAAACTGACCAGCCATATGCAGAAAATTGAAACTGGGCCCCTTCCGTACTCCTTATACAAAAATAAACTCAAGATGGATTGAAGACCTAAAACCATAAAAACCCTAGAAGAAAACCTGGATAGTACCATTCAAGACAGGCATGGGCAAAGACTTCATGACTAAAACACCGAAAGCAATGGTGACAAAAGCCAAAATAGACAAGTGGGATCTAATTAAACTAAAGAGCTTCTGCACAGCAAAAGAAACTATCATCAGAGTGAACAGGCAACCTACAGAATGGGAGAAATTTTTTGCAATCTATTCTTCTGACAAAGGGCTAATATCTACTATCTGCAAGGAACTTAAACAAATTTACAAGAAAAAAAAAACATCAAAAAGTGAGTGAAGAATAGTAACAGACACTTCTCAGAAGAAGACATTTATGCAGGTAACAAACA